CGTTCAATGTGATCACTCAGTGTTGTGTGTTCATTCAGTGCTCTCTGTGTCCAACCTGAAGTTCTTCCACGAGCAATTGAACACTGTTAGTACAGTAACCCCTGACTAGTATGGTCCAGTAGGACCCGTACAGTAACCCCTGACTAGTATGGTCCAGTAGGACCCGTACAGTAGGCCCTGACTAGTATGGTCCAGTATTATTATTATTATAATCAAGGGGGAAGCGCTAAACCCAGAGGATTATACAGCGCCTGGGGGGGATGTGGAAGGCATTCAGGCTTAATTTGGGGAACTGGAGCACGGATCCAATTCCCTAAATCAAGAGCCCCTCACCAACATCAAGGAACCTTCCTTGAGGGGACAGTATGGTCCAGTAGGACCCGTACAGTAGGCCCTGACTAGTATGGTCCAGTAGTACATTAAGCCCTGACTAGTATGGTCCAGTAGGACCCGTACAGTAACCCCTGACTAGTATGGTCCAGTAGGACCCGTACAGTAGGCCCTGACTAGTATGGTCCAGTAGGACCCGTACAGTAACCCCTGACTAGTATGGTCCAGTAGGACCCGTACAGTAGGCCCTGACTAGTATGGTCCAGTAGGACCCGTACAGTAGGCCCTGACTAGTATGGTCCAGTAGGACCCGTACAGTAGGCCCTGACTAGTATGGTCCAGTAGGACCCGTACAGTAGGCCCTGACTAGTATGGTCCAGTAGGACCCGTACAGTAGGCCCTGACTAGTATGGTCCAGTAGGACCCGTACAGTAGGCCCTGACTAGTATAGTCCAGTAGGACCCGTACAGTAGGCCCTGATAGTATGGTCCAGTAGGACCCGTACAGTAGGCCCTGACTAGTATGGTCCAGTAGGACCCGTACAGTATGCCCTGACTAGTATAGTCCAGTAGGACCCGTACAGTAGGCCCTGACTAGTATGGTCCAGTAGGACCCATACAGTAGGCCCTGGCTAGTATTTATTTATTTATTTATTTATTTCCAATTTGAGCACACATACAGAGGTACAAAAAAATACAGATAAGAGCAGTATGCCAAAGCCACTTATACTATGCATAGCATTACGGACTGGCTTAAAATTAACTTAAGATTAACTAAGCAATGATGAAATCAGTGATAAAACATTAATGTAAACAGATTACTATAAAGCACAAATGAGTATTACAAAGACAGGTCATATGGTTGCATGCATTGTTGTACATTCAGTCGTATGGAGTATTCTGTTAGGTAGTGTATTTAAAAAATAATAAAGTTAGATTGGGTTTTAGGTTTAACATTTATGTGATATAATTGTGAGAAACATTTAAGATATACAATTTATAAGGTTCAGTTATTCAGTATTTATTTGGTTTTGGGTGAGTAAGTGATCTTTGAGAAGAGACTTGAATTTATAAACAGGTAGTGTTTCTTTTATATTTACAGGTAATGAATTCCAGATTTTAGGGCCTTTTATGTGCATTGAGTTTTTGCATAGTGTGAGATGGACACGAGGAACATCAAAGAGTGATCTGTGCCTTGTGTTATGGTCATGTGTTCTGTTGAGGTTGGCAAGGAGATGTTTGAGGGGAGGGTTAATATCAGAGTTAAGTGTTCTATGTATGTAATAGGTGCAGTAATAAGTATGGATGTTTTGTATGGTGAGTAGGTTAGTGTATTGAATATTGGTGGAGTGTGCTGCCTGTAGTGAGAATTTGTTATCATTCTAACTGCAGCCTTTTGTTGAGTAATTAGTGGTCTGAGATGGTTAATTGTTGTTGAGCCCCATGCACAAATTCCATAGGTGAGATAGGGGTAAATAAGAGAGTGATATAGGGCCAGGAGGGCTGACTGTGGAACATAGTACCGTATCTTCGATAGTATGCCTACAGTCTTGGAAATTTTCTTAGAAATTTGTTGTATATGTGTATGAAATTTGAGTCTATTATCAAGGTGGATTCCTAAGAATTTTCCCTCTGTTAGTTTTGTGATAGGTGATCCGTTTATCGTTATGTTAAGAGGGACATCTGTAGCTCTGTTACCAAACTGAATGAAGTAGGTTTTGTCAATGTTTAGTGTAAGTTTGTTAGTCCTCATCCAGGTAGATATTTTCTGTAATTCGGTATTTACAGTATTGGCTAGCGTGACTGGGCTCGGGTGAGAGAAGACGTATGTAGTGTCATCTGCAAATAGTGTGGGTTTGAGTAATTGCGAAGCATTTGGAAGGTCATTTATGTATAGGAGAAAGAGAAGAGGGCCAAGGACACTTCCCTGTGGGACACCAACTGTAATTGGTTGCGCAGAAGAGTTTGCCCCATTTGCATACACATATTGACTTCTGTTGCTGAGGTATGACTTGACGTAGTTGAGGGAGTGCCCTCTTATACCATAGTGTGACAATTTTACGTGGAGCAAGTCATGGTCAACTGTATCAAAAGCTTTACGTAAGTCAATGAAGATCCCCAGTGGGACTTCTTTTTTCTCTATTGCAGTATATATATGTTCTAGCATGTGTATAATAGCATCATTAGTATTTTTATTAGGCCTGAATCCAAATTGGCAGGGGTTGAGTATGTTTTGGGAGATAAGGTAGGAGTAGATTCGTTTATGAATTAATTTTTCAAAGATTTTTGAGAGAGGGTGTAAGTTGGATATTGGCCTATAGTTATTCAACTCTGTTTGGTCTCCTCCTTTGTGGATCGGGGTGACCCTTGCTATTTTGAGTACTGTAGGGTCCAGTAGGACCCGTCGAGCAAACAGAAATAAAATCTATGGAGAGTCTAAGCGTGGAGTAAACCTGGAGTATACCTGGAGTAAACCTGGAGTATACCTGGGGTGTACCTGGAGTATACCTGGGGTGTACATAGGCATGAAATACCTGAAAAAACAAATGGGTTATAAACTGTCAGTAGTGAAGTGAGATTTACCTTACCCTGTGCTTCAAGGAGTCTCATATATACTCCAGCATTTCTAAAATATTGCTGGAACCTGGCGAAAAATGCAAAAAATCTTTTCTTATTTATAAATACATTTTTTGTTTAAAAACCCGTAACAAAAAAATGGGGTGGTTATAATATATATATATATATATATTATATATATATATATATATATATATATATATATATATATATATATATATATATATATATATTAATATATATTATATATATATATATATATTATATATATATATATATAATATATATATATCATTCTTTCTCAAACACTCTCGCTCTCTCTCTTTCACACACATTCACGCACACACACTCTCTTACACGCGCACACACATGACATGATGGAAGGGTTAGACTCAGAAGTGTCCCTGTTTGTGAGACCTCTACCCACTCTACCTGAGGCTGAACTGCATCACGTGTTCGCAAATGATGAGAAGTTAATGAGGAGAATTAAATCAGATGAGGATCAGGTAGGACTTCAAAGAGACCTGGACAGACTGGACAGTCATGAAGATCGGAGAAGGGCAAAGAAGACCGCAGACGGTGTATAAGCTAGGTGGCCAAAGACTGCAAACCTCAGTCAAGGAGAAAGATCTTGGGGTGACCATAACACCGAGCATGTCCCCGGAAGCATGAATCAACCAGATAACCGCTGCAGCATATGGGCGCCTGGCAAACCTGTGATTAGCATTCCGATACCTTAGTAAGGAATCGTTCAAGACACTGTACACCGTGAATGTTAGGTCCATATTGGAGTATGCAGCACCTGTTTGGAACCCACACTTGATCAAGCACGTCAAGAAATTAGAGAAAGTGCAAAGGTTTGCGACAAGGTTAGTTCCAGAGCTAAGGAGAATGTCCTGTGAAAAAAGATTGAGGGAAATCTGCCTGACGACACTGAAGGACAGGAGGGTTAGGGAAGACATGATAACAACATACAAAATACTGCGTGGAATAGACAAGGTGGACAGAGACTGAATGTTCCAGAGAGGGGACACAGAAACAAGGGATCACAATTGGAAGTTGAAGACCCAGATGAGTCAAAGAGATGTTAGGAAGTATTTCTTCAGTCATAGAGCAGTCAGGAAGTGGAATAGTCTAGCAAGTGAGGTAGTGGAGGCAGGAACCATACATAGCTTTATGATGAGGTAGGATAAAGCTCATGGAGCAGGGAGAGAGAGAACCTAGTAGCACTGGGTGAAGAGGCGGGGCCAGGAGCTGAGTCTCGACCCCTGCAACCACAAATAGATGAGCACACACACACACACAATTTGATGAGGATCAGGCAGGACTACAAAGGGATCTGGACAGGATGCAAACCTGGTCCAGTAACTGGCTCCTAGAGTTAAACCCCAGCAAATGCAAAGTCATAAAGATTGGGGAAGGACAAGGAAGACCGCAAATGGAGTACAGGTTAGGGGAGCAAAGGCTGCAAACTTCACTTAAAGAAAAGGATCTTGGGGTAAGCATTATACAGAGCATGTCCCTGAGGCACACATCACTCAAATAGCTACTTCAGCATATGGGCGCCTGGCAAACCTGAGAACAGCATATCGACATGTGAGTGAGGAATCATTCACGACACTATACACCATGTACGTCAGGCCCATACTGGAGTATGCAGCGCCAGTATGGAACCCACAACTGGTCAAACAAGTCAAGAAAGTCGAGAAAGTGAAAAAGATTACAAGAAGACTAGTCCCGGAACTGAGAGGTATGTCTTACGAGAAGAGATTAAGGGAACTTAACCTGATGACCCTAGAGGATAGGAGGGATAGGGAAGACATGATAACAATGTATAAAATACTGAGAGGAACTGACAGAGTGGACAGGGTTTGAATGTTTCAGAAATGGAACACAGGAACAAGGGTCCACAGTTGGAAATTGAAAACCCATCTTAGGAGAACCTTTGTAAACAAGGGTTCACTCTACCTTTGTTACGTGTTTTAGTACTCTTTTCGAGTGCGTCTGTAAATGTCCTCGTCACATTGGAAATTTGATAGCTCAAACGGGTTTAGCGCATGGTAGAACTGTGAAAATATTCTGATAAATGCTTACTGAGAATATCTGAGCTGTGGGAATCCTCAGGAGTGTGTGAGTGCAGTGCTGAGTGAGCACTGGCTGAGTACAAGCACTCTCTAGTAGTGTGTAGTAATGCTGAGTGAACACTGGCTGAGCACAAGCACTCTCTAGTAGTGTGTAGCAACTCTGTGTGCTCACCTCTGAGTACAACTACTCTAGTAGTGTGTAGTAACAGTGACCGATCACTCCTAACTGAGTGCATACACTTAAGTCTACAAATAACCAGCTGCTTCTGTTATCAGCAAATATCATTTTTCTTTACTTATCTATTTCTTATCTTAAAAAGACACTGAACAACACACAAGATAACACAACGCTAACTAAATGAAGAACGACACTCTGTATGTAGAGATTATAGTTGAGATTTTGCTGGTGAAGTGGCTAGTTTATTGTGTACCATACATCCATCCTGTGGATGGTAGTGGCTAGTTTATTGTGTACCATACATCCATCCTGTGGATGGTAGTGGCTAGTTTATTGTGTACCATATATCCATCCTGTGGATGGTAGTGGCTAGTTTATTGTGTACCACATATCCATCCTGTGGATGGTAGTGGCTAGTTTATTGTGTACCATATATCCATCCTGTGGATGGTAGTGGCTAGTTTATTGTGTACCACATATCCATCCTGTGGATGGATATATGGTACACAATAGTGGACCGGTCCACCTCCTATTTTAGTGACTGTAGGACCAGAGTGGGCCAGTACATTCGTTGTTCTCGAGACCACTTGACCATAGTGGACCGGTCAACCTCCTATTTTTGAGATTACTAGACCATAATAGACCGGTTCACTTATTTTTGAGAAGGGGTGGAATTTGGCAATTTAATAATACCTCTATACGATTCAGCATTATTTTTATTAACATAAAATTTTCTTCCCTGAATTGTGAGAGAATTTTGTTTGAGATTTGTGTGAAAAAAAAAAATTCAATTTCGGAAGCAATGTGGACGAAATGCTTCAGTTCACCTCTGTAGCGTGAAGGGCGTCCTTCACTTCACCTCTGTAGCGTGAAGGACGTCCTTCAGTTCACCTCTGTAGCGTGAAGGACGTCCTTCAGTTCACCATGGGCTCCTGGGAGTTACTTAACTCTCACTTTACATAGAACTCTCTTAAAGTGATTGCAGTAGCCTAGAGAGAACGGGAACTTTATGTTAGAAGTGATATAGAGACAGAATGAGTCGTGGTCCCACGTCGTACCCATGACCTGGCGCATGTTGACACGGGTTCCGTCCGGCCAGAGAAATTTCCTGGTTATGGAGAATGGTCCGGTCACCCAGACTCCAACGTTCTTCACTGAAAAACAAGAAAATGGTCAGTGGTTGTCTTATCTTGATGGAAGAATGGCTGGTTAATGGGGTTACAAGTGTCTGCTTCATGTGGGTTATTAAGGCTGGTTTACTGGTTAATGGGGTTACAAGTTTCTGCTACATGTGGGTTATTAAGGCTGGTTTACTGGTTAATGGGGTTACAAGTGTCTGCTATATGTGGGTTAATAAGACTGGTTTACTGGTTAATGAAGTTGCAAGTGTCTGCTACATGTGGGTTATTAAGGCTGGTTTACTGGTTAATGAGGTTGCAAGTGTCTGCTATATGTGGGTTATTAAGACTGGTTTGCTGGTTAATGAGGTTACAAGTGTCTGCTATATGTGGGTTATTAAGGCTGGTTTACTGGTTAATGGGGTTACAAGTGTCTGCTACATGTGGGTTATTAAGGCTGGTTTACTGGTTAATGGGGTTACAAGTGTCTGCTACATGTGGGTTATTAAGGCTGGTTTACTGGTTAATGGGGTTACAAGTGTCTGCTACATGTGGGTTATTAAGACTGGTTTACTGGTTAATGGGGTTACAAGTGTCTTCTACATGTGGGTTATTAAGGCTGGTTTACTGGTTAATGGGGTTAACAAGTGTCTTCTACATGTGGGTTATTAAGGCTGGTTTACTGGTTAATGGGGTTACAAGTGTCTTCTACATGTGGGTTATTAAGGCTGGTTTACTGGTTAATGGGGTTACAAGTGTCTTCTACATGTGGGTTATTAAGGCTGGTTTACTGGTTAATGGGTTACAAGTGTCTTCTACATGTGGGTTATTAAGGCTGGTTTACTGTTAATGGGGTTACAAGTGTCTTCTACATGTGGTTATTAAGGCTGGTTTACTGGTTAATGGGGTTACAAGTGTCTTCTACATGTGGGTTATTAAAGGCTGGTTTACTGGCTAATGGGGTTACAAGTGTCTTCTACATGTGGGTTATTAAGGCTGGTTTACTGGTTAATGGGGTTACAAGTGTCTTCTACATGTGGGTTATTAAGGCTGGTTTACTGGTTAATGGGGTTACAAGTGTCTTCTACATGTGGTTATTAAGGCTGGTTTACTGGTTAATGGGGTTACAAGTGTCTTCTACATGTGGGTTATTAAGGCTGGTTTACTGGTTAATGGGGTTACAAGTGTCTTCTACATGTGGGTTATTAAGGGTGGTTTACTGGTTAATGGGGTTACAAGTGTCTTCTACATGTGGGTTATTAAGGCTGGTTTACTGTTAATGGGGTTACAAGTGTCTTCTACATGTGGGTTATTAAGGCTGGTTTACTGGTTAATGGGGTTACAAGTGTCTTCTACATGTGGGTTATTAAGGCTGGTTTACTGGTTAATGGGGTTACAAGTGTCTTCTACATGTGGGTTATTAAGGCTGGTTTACTGGTTAAATGGGTTACAAGTGTCTTCTACATGTGGGTTATTAAGGCTGGTTTACTGGTTAATGGGGTTACAAGTGTCTGCTACATGTAGGTTATTAAGGCTGGTTTACTGGTTAATGAGGTTACAAGTGTCTGCTACATGTGGGTTATTAAGGCTGGTTTACTGGTTAATGGGGTTACAAGTGTCTGCTACATGTGGGTTGTAGATGAATTGTTCACAGAACCGACACGTTGATAAATTAGACACATGTGCAACTCTTGGGTAACTTTATTAAGGAAACGTTTCGCCACACAGTGGCTTCATCAGTCCATACACAGGAGAAGCTTGAAGAATAGGAGGAGAATGAGGTAATCAGTCCCTCAACCCTAAGTCGATGTGGTCAGTCCATCAATCTTGAGTAGAATACGGCATATGAGCGGGGAAGGAGCTTATAAACCGTAGGTAGGAGAGGTGCAGCAGTCATAGGTGGTGTCACATTTCCACATTGGGCAAATGTGACACCACGTATGACTGTTGCACCTCTCCTACCTACGGTTTATAAGCTCCTTCTCCGCTCATATGCCGTATTCTACTCAAGATTGATGGACTGACCACATCGACTTAAGGTTGAGGGACTGATTACCTAATTCTCCTCCTATTCTTCAAGCTTCTCCTGTAGATGAATGGTTCAAAGAACCGACATGTTGTTAAATTAGACACATGTGCAACTCTTGGGTATCTTTATTGAGGAAACGTTTCGCCACACAGTGGCTTCATCAGTCCATACATAGGAGAAACTTGAAGAACAGGAGGAGAATGAGATAATCAGTCCCTCAACCTTGAGTCGACGTGGTCAGTCCATCAATCTTGAATAGAATACGGCATATGAGCGGAGAAGCAGCTTATGAACCGTATGGCAGGAGAGGTGCAGCAGTCGTAGGTGGTGTCACATTTGTTCAATGTGGAAGTAGGTCGTGCCCAAGGGTTAGGCAAGCGAAGAATTCCCAAGTATTAAGATCCCAAGAAGTTGCAGTGTCGTGCCTAACCCTTGGGCACGACCTACTTCCACATTGAACAAATGTGACACCACCTACGACTGCTGCACCTCTCCTGCCATACGGTTCATAAGCTGCTTCTCCGCTCATATGCCGTATTCTATTCAAGATTGATGGACTGACCACGTCGACTCAAGGTTGAGGGACTGATTATCTCATTCTCCTCCTGTTCTTCAAGTTTCTCCTATGTATGGACTGATGAAGCCACTGTGTGGCGAAACGTTTCCTCAATAAAGATACCCAAGAGTTGCACATGTGTCTAATTTAACAAGCTTCTCCTGTGTATGGACTGATGAAGCCACTGTGCGGCGAAACGTTTCCTTAATAAAGTTACCCAAGAGTTGCACATGTGTCTAATTTATCTACATGTGGGTTATTAAGGCTGGTTTACTGGTTAATGGAGTTACAAGTGTCTGCTACTTGTGGGTTATTAAGACTGGTTTACTGGTTAATGGGGTTACAAGTGTCTGCTACATGTGGGTTATTAAGACTAGTTTACTGGTTAATGGAGTTACAAGTGTCTGCTACATGTGGGTTATTAAGACTGGTTTACTGGTTAATGGAGTTACAAGTGTCTGCTACATGTGGGTTATTAAGACTGGTTTACTGGTTAATGGAGTTACAAGTGTCTGCTACATGTGGGTTATTAAGACTGGTTTACTGGTTAATGGGGTTACAAGTGTCTGCTACATGTGGGTTATTAAGACTGGTTTACTGGTTAATGGGGTTACAAGTGTCTGCTACATGTGGGTTATTAAGACTGGTTTATTGGTTAATGGGGTTACAAGTGTCTGCTACATGTGGGTTATTAAGACTGGTTTACTGGTTAATGGGACTTCAAATCCATCTACTACACGAGGGTCATTAAGGCTGTATGTCACATGTACACCATTAGTCAAGAATACTTTCATTCTTTAAACAGTGTATATACACTGAGATATACACACCTCTCACCTCTCATTACTTATACACTAAGAGACAAACACCTCTCAGTGTATATAAACCGAGATATACTCCTGTTAGTGTATATACAAAGAGAGATATTCACATCTAAACATATATATATATATATATATATATATATATATATATATATATATATATATATTATATATTATATATATATATATATATATATATATATACAGCACTTACACAAGACAGGATCAATATAATCTTGGATGGCCTGGATGTGAGAGTCAGTAAGACTGACAGCCTCACCTCCCGCAATCTCACACTCCCTGGCAAAATCTGTTGCTTGAGTAGCCTCGCCAGTTATGAAGAGACAGTCTCTGCCTGCACCCAACAGTGGTAATTCACATCCTGTAGAAGAAACATAAATAAATAAATACATATATATTATTTTAACCACGGACGAGTAGTATTTAATCAATAACAACACTGCGAGGATTCGGACCCATGTCGTTTTGGCCCGCCTCATGGTGGGTGACAATCACATGACGCTCTAACCCACAGGACCACGCAATCCTACTGTAGGATTGCATGGAGGGGGTAAAGGAGGTTTTGTGGGCGAGGGGCTTGGACTTTATTCATGTGAGAGATTTTAACCATCCAATTGATTTTCAAAAAGTTGAGAAAGTTGTATCAAGCAAGTCCATGGTTGACAGAAATATAATTGAATCTTGTTTCATAAAAAGCAGTTTTGAAAATAATATGAATATTTTCTTAGGTTTATATACATTAGATTCATTTATAATTAATAAAATTTTGTTAGAGTTTAATAATATATTGGACAAATAATTAACCTTATTTCTTGGGTAGAATATTTTGTTAGTGGGATGTGATTGATGAATGGTTTGAAAAACCGACAAGTTGTAGAATTGAGACACTTATGCAACATAGGCGAAACGTTTACAATAAAGATAACCAGGTTGATGTTGCACAAGTGTCTTAACTTTCAACCCAACTAGGTAGACTGTTCCACTCATCAACTACCCTATTTCCAAACCAATACTTTCCTATGTCCTTTCTAAATCTAAATTTATCTAATTTAAATCCATTACTGCAGGTTCTCTCTTGGAGAGATATCCTTCACGACTACGACAACTACTACTACAACTAACCCATCTCTTTGGGAAGGACCTACTTCCACTGGGGAATCCCGCCAACCAGTGACTATGCCCTCGTCTGCTACACCTGACGTTACTATATAAGCGCCAGGCTCCTTGCTTCTGCTTCAGTATCTCCACGACTACGGTGCTCTTCGCACCTACTCCAAGGTTGAGGGACTGATTATCTCATCTTCTGTACATAGTTCTACTTTCTTCAAGTTATGTCCTGGAATTTGTATTGATAAAGCCACTGGATGGCGAAACGTCTACAATAAAGATACCCAGATGTTGCACCTGTGTCTTAATTTCATCGAGAGATATCCTCAAGACCTTATTAATACCTTATCTTCCACTTATACACTTCGATCAGGTCTCCCCTCATTCTTCGTCTAACAAGTGAATGTAACTTAAGAGTCTTCAATCTTTCTTCATAAGGAAGATTTCTAATGCTATGTATTAATTTAGTTATTCTACGCTGAATGTTTTCTAACGAATTTATGTCCATTCTGTAATATGGAGACCAGAATTGAGCTGCATAATCTAGGTGAGGCCTTACTAATGATGTATAAAGCTGCAGTATGACCTCTGGACTTCTGTTGCTTACACTTCTTGATATAAATCCCAGTAATCTATTTGCCTTATTGCGTACGCTTAGGCATTGCTGTCGTCTTGGTTTAAGGTTGCTGCTTACCATAACCCCCAAGTCCTTTTCGCAATCTGTATGGCTAAGTTCTACATTATTTAACTTATGAAAATAAATGGTATAAAATACCGACACTATGGAAACTTAAACACATATGAAGTTTAATATGATCCTTTATTGACAACGTTTCGCCCACACAGTGGGCTTTTTCAAGTCACAAACAGAATCCTGGAATCATCGCTTATCTCTATAACCAACAATTTCAACCAGAACAATGGCTTCTATAACATAGCTGAACCACTTGCCAAGAAACTTCTTCATCGCTGTCCCACATAAGAACATAGAACACTGCAGAAGGTCTACTCACAACTTGTCCAATACCCCTGCCAAGCTACCCAAGACTCTATAACCGCACCCAGTGGATCCTCAGATGCAGCATTCTCCACCTGACCTCAACATTCTGACTATAAATACTCCCGTACCTTCCACCCCAGGTAGATCTGTTTGTGACTTGAAAAAGCCCACTGTGTGGGCGAAACGTTGTCAATAAAGGATCACATTAAACTGCATATGTGTTTATGTTTCCATCATTTAACTTATAAGTGCTAGGGTTATGGACACTCCCGAGCTTCAGAACCTTGCATTTATCTACATTGAACTGCATCTGCCACTTTTCTGACCAAGAATAGAGTTTGTTTAAATCCTCCTGAAGTTCCCTAACGTCTACATTTGAATCAATTATCCTACCTATCTTTGTGTCATCGGCGAATTTGCTCATATCACTAGTAATTCCCTCATCAAGGTCATTGATATATATTATAAACAACAACGGGCCCAAGACTGATCCCTGTGGAACGCCACCTGTTACAGATCCCCACTCGGATTTAACCCCCATTTATGGACACTCTCTGCTTCCTGTCTGTGAGCCATGACTCGATCCATGAGAGCACTTTACCCCAATGCCATGAGCTGTCACTTTATTTAACAGTCTTTGGTGCGGAACTCTATCAAAAGCCTTACTAAAATCTAAGTAAATAATATCAAACTCTTTATCGTGGTCAACAGCCTCAAAAGCTTTACTGAAGAAAGTTAATAAATTAGTTAGACAAGACCGGCCTCTTGTGAATCCATGCTGAGTATCATTAATCAAGCTATGCTTATCGAGATGGCTTCTTGTAATCTGAGCTATAATTAACTCTAGTAATTTGCCTACAATTGAGGTCAGACTTATTGGGCGGTAATTTGACGGTAACGACTTGTCCCCTGTTTTAAAAATTGGAATTACATTAGCCATCTTCCACATATCAGACACTACACCTGTTTGAAGAGATAAATTAAAAATATTAGTTAATGGTTCACAGAGTTCCATTTTGCATTCCTTAAGAACCCTTGAAAAAACCTCATCAGGACCCGGCAACTTATTTTGCTTAAGTCTGTCTATCTGCTTCACAACCATTTCACTAGTGACTGTGATGTTACGTAATTTATCTTCTTCTAGCCCACTATAAAAATTAATTACTGGAATATTGTTAGTGTCTTCCTGTGTAAAAACCGAGAGAAAATAATTATTTAAAATCAAGCACATTTCATTCTCTTTGTCAGTAAGATGCCCATAATTATTTTTAAGGGGACCTAGGCGGGATTTCCCAGTGGAAGTAGGTCCTACCCATGGAATCTTGATTCTGAGGACATGTACATAACCTTCACGACTACGATAACTACTACTACAACTAACCCATCTCTTTGGGTAGGACCTACTTCCACTGGGGAATCCCGCCTACCAGTGACTATGCCCTCGTCTGCTACCCGCCCCATTTCCACCTGACGTTACTATATAAGCGTCAGGCGCCTTGCTTCGACTTCAGAATCTCCACGACTACGGTGCTCTTCGCACCTACTGCTAGGTTGAGGGACTGATTACCTCATCTTCTGTACATAGTTCTCCTGTCTTCAAGTTATGTCCTGGAATTTGTATTGATAAAGCCACTGGATGGCGAAACGTCTACAATAAAGATTCCCAGATGTTGCACATATGTCTCAATTTCATCTTGTCGGTATTGTATACCATTCTTGTACATCTACAACTCTGTTAGAAAACCAGTACTTACCAATGTCCTTTCAAAATGACTGGCCACTAAGAACCAGCTTCTTACCCGGAAATCACAACGTGAAAACTGTGCCACTAGTGGACCCTAAGAAAATTCTGTTGCCACCACTCCACATCAAATTAAGACTTATGAAAAATTTTGTGAAGGCCTTGAACAAGAATGGAACTGCTTTCAAGTACCTGTAGTCAACTTTTCCTGGTATAAGTAAAGGCAAGCTAAAGGCAGGAATCTTTGTTGGTCCTCAGATTCAGGAATTGATGAAGGACAAGCAATTTGATGAAGCATTAGCAGGTGTAGAGGTGAATGTCTGGTTTTCATTCAAGCAGATTGTCCACATCTTCCTGGGAAACAGGCGCTCCCCCGAATATGAAAAAAAATGATCCAAGGCCTGATTTCAAGTTTCCAACAACATGGGTCTAGAATGAGTGTGAAGTTGCACTTTTTGCACTCACATCTTGACTATTTTCCCAACAATTGTGGGGACTACAGTGTGGAACAAGGAGAGTGGTTCCATCAGGATATTTGCACCATGGAAACTCGATACCAGGGAAAATGGAATGTCAGCATGATGGCGGATTACTGCTGGTCATTGAAACGTAATGGCCTCGATGCACAGCACAAGCGAAAATCAAAGCAGCCCTCCTTCCTTTGATTCAATATATAGGCTAACCATTGGGAGCATTTTTAAAAAAAAAATCGTTTGTTTTCATTCATGATGATTTAGAATTCATATATTGCTAAAACTAACATAATATGCTTTTCCATCATTACTTTCATAATTTTAATACATTAACAGTTTAATCAAAATTAACATTTTTTATTATTAATTTGTATTTTATTCAAAATCCTTAAGTGATAGAGCAAAATGGTTTAGATACTTACAATCAGCAGCCCAAGAATATGTTAGATCACAACCATGAATAATATAAAAATTCTAAGTGCAGACCAGTGTTATATTTCAATTATTCTGTGTTATTATATGTGTCATTCTATATGTGTTATTTTATATGTGTCACTGATATGTATTATAGTATATGTTCTTATTAGGAACACGAAGAACTAAATGTAAACGTCAGTCACAAGAGTTGCTGACAGTGTCAGCAGCCTGATAAGCGTTGGAGAGGTGTTGGACGAGTGATGGAGAAGTGTTGGAGAGTTGGAGAAGTGTTGGAGGAGTGTTGAAGTGTTGGAGAAGTATTGGAGAAGCGTTGGAGGGTGTTGGAGAAGTGTTGGAGGAGTGCTAGAGAAGTGTTGAAATGTTGGAGAAGTGTTGGAGGAGTGTTGGAGAAGTGTTGGAGGAGTGTTGAAGTGTTGCAGAAGTGGTGGAGAAGCGTTGGAGAAGTGTTGGAGGAGTACTAGAGAAGCGCTGGAGGAGTGTTGAAGTGTTGGAGGAGTGTTGGAGGAGTGTGAGATATTGAAGGAGTGTTGAAGAATTGATGGAGAAGTGTTGGAAGAGTTTTGGAGTGTTGGAGAAGTGTTGGAGCGTTGGAGAAGTGTTGGAGTGTTGGAGAAGTGTTGGAGCGTTGGAGAAGTGTTGGAGTGTTCGTTTTAGCGTTGGAGAAGTGTTGGAGAAATGTTAGTGTTGGAGAATTGTTGGTGAAGTGTGGGAGTGTTGGAGAGACACAGTATACACACCTGAGGGAAGTGCATGTGTGTCCACCTTTGTGGAATGGTCTGCATCTGCGGATTGGTCTGTATCTGTGGAATGGTCCGCATTTGTGGAATGGTCAGCATTTGTGGAATGGTCAGCATTTGTGGTTTGGTCCTCATTTGTGGTTTGGTCCTCATCTGTGGTTTGGTCCGCATCTGTGGTTTGGTCCGCATCTGTGGTTTGGTCCTCATCTGTGGTTTGGTCCTCATCTGTGGTTTGGTCCGCATCTGTGGTTCGGTCCGCCTCTGCATCCTGATCCACCTCAGTGTCTGGAATTATAGACATCAATAATATATAAGTCAGCGGTAAGACAAGTAAACTAAGCCACTAACCTCTCTATTGGCTGACCGAGAGTCATCCATCTAGATTCTAGTCATACTTCCATGAACACTAGGAAAGTTAGCATGGGCCACCACTGCGACTACAAATGCTGATCTTTACGCATGAAACTTATACCAGTATGGCTGAGGCAGGCTCTGGCTCATGGCCCTTCAAAGGTATTATGAAAAACGCAAGATATCGCATTAGAGTTTAACCCAGCTGTCATAATCTCGGACACTCCGCTCGGTAGTTTATTAGGGACAATAAATTCCCGACTAACGTAGAGATTAGGTCCCAGAGCATCCTGGGACAGTTATCGTGTCTCCACGTACGGTCCACGACCAAAATTTTAGTTAACGAAGAGACTTCTAGTCTGTGGGTGAGTTAAAGACTGGAGCCACGGGATTGTTAGTTGTATTTTTTCCTGTTGAAAAGGATTATCTGTTGTTTGTCAGGAAATATGGCAACTGTCTCCTGACGCCTGATCAAGGACCGGGCCAAGGGGTCGTTGACCCCTCAACACCTTCCAGGTAGACGCTGTTTTTTGTTACATTATGGGGATAAAGGGTAGAAAATATATAGTTACCTTGGTCAGATGGGTAGCTGACGCACCATTCCTCAGGTACCTGGCACCTGCTGGCACTGATAGGTGAGCAGGTGCTGATGGTGGCTTTGACACAGATGCCTTGACCTGTCTTTTCTGATGGGTCCCAGTAGTATAATTCAGGGCACTGCCTCTGAAGTTGTCTGAAGCCTTCACCTTCAGCTATACAGACGTAGTAGCGCCCACAATCCAGTGGATCCGGGTAACGACCCTCTTCAGTGCAGGAAAAGTCACCAGTGGGCCACGTACATGGGTCCTCACAGTTTCCTGTGTTTTCGTTGAGCATTAAGCCGTCACTACACTTGTGTATCCGGGTTTTCCAGCCTATGTCAGTGTACACACAGTCATAGTACTCGGTGCAGTCGTCTGGGTTGGCGAAAACTCCGTTTTGTGCGCATGTAATGTTTCCTATGGTGCTGACGCACTTCTGTTGTTCCTTGCTGAATCTCATTCCATCTGGGCAGCGATACACATCGGCTTTGTCTACATCCGGCCAGCAGTAAACGAACTTCTGATCATCGTAAACATCACGGCTGAAGCACTGTTCGTCACTGCAGGAGCAAACAGTGTCCCAGTTGGGATAACACACACCTCCACCGAAATCTTCCTCCCTCACGTCGCAGAAGTCACCGGCGTCGCAGGGCTCTGTATAGGCCTCACCTTCCAGACACAACACCAGAGTCTTGCAGTCAGAACACACGAACCCGTTTACGATATCTGAACACAGGTCGTCAGGCTGCTGGCGCGCACCGGTCTTGCTTGACTCTTCCTGGGAGAACCAACACATTATTAAAAACGACTGAACGAAATTAAGTTTGTCGTTTGTAAGTAAAATACATAACAGCATTACGAATGAAAGTTGCTCCAAGTGTAGACACTTGGAGCACCTTTACCCTATACATTCCGTCTAATTTCGAGTAATCAAGGTTACATGACCAAAATGTGTCCAATAAAGATGTCCCAAGTATATACACGTGTGTCCTGTCGCCCTTAGCACTTTCGGTACTAACTGCCTTCTTCAGAAGCCAGATCAGCCAAGGAATCAACCAAGATTAACCAGTAGACCAGCAAACTATAGACTGAATCAACCATCACTTTCTCTGTCCAAGTAATGAGGTACCACAAACGATGGGCCATTACATGAAGTTTAAATCACTCTCTACACAACACGAGGCACATTAAGGCTCACATGAAACTTTACACCAGACAAAAGACTGTAATACCAAAAAGGATTAAAGTAAAAAAATCTTAGCATATATGCACTGAGAGAAATACACCCATCCAGAATATATCGTGTGCCAAGAAAGGTGAAATATAAAACAGACTAGAGACCCCACAAAACTGTGAGGCACACACACACACACAACACACACAACACACACACACACACACACACACACACACACACAACACACACACACACACACACAACACACAACACAACACACAACACAACACACACAACCACACACCACACACACACACACACACACACACACACACACACATACACACACACACACACAACACACACACACAACACACACACCACACACACACACAGGTGCCAGAAACTGTCAGAGAGGATAACACAGGGTCATCTATGGTATTATCTACAGTATTGCCTACATAAAAATGGAATCTAGTGATAAAATCGCAACCGTTGGCAGCAATCTTCACAATAATAAGAATATTTAGATCAAATATTATTATTATACTGAATATCGAAACGTCAGAAGAGTCAGGATAACTCGTAATAAACGTCTGTTAAAGAATAAATTGAATATGGAAAGGGAATCGAACCGTAGTGGTGGCAGGTAGCAGTAGTGGCCCGGTGGCCCGGTGGTCTGGTGGCTAAAGCTCCCGCTTCACACACGGAGGGCCCGGGTTCGATTCCCGGCGGGTGGAAACATTTCGACACGTTTCCTTACACCTGTTGTCCTGTTCACCTAGCAGCAAATAGGTACCTGGGTGTTAGTCGACTGGTGTGGGTCGCATCCTGGGGGACAAGATTAAGGACCACAATGGAAATAAGTTAGACAGTCCTCGATGACGCACTGACTTTCTTGGGTTATCCTGGGTGGCTAACCCTCCGGGGTTAAAAATCCGAACGAAATCTCTCTCTCTGCTTCTATCAACTTTTCTGTACTCGACTGAAGAAGCCTACTGTGTAGGTGAAACGTTTCGAAATAAAGATACCTAACTGTTGCATATGTGTCTTACCTAACAACCTGTCGGTATTTTATACCATTTTAATGTTCAACTATTAAATACCAGGACCACGGTTGAAGCCACCGTCCACTGTAACAATACACGAATAACTATCACTACTACTACTTACACTACCATTATTACTACTTTCACCAAGTCTTATTCTTCCTCTCTGTCTTCCGTCCCTCTGTCCCCCTCGCCTATATACACCGACTCACTCTCTTCTGTCTTGTAAATAGTCCAAGTCGGACCAAAACGTTGCTGTAAGCTCCTCTCTCCTATGTGCGGGTTATTCGTGTATTGTTCCAGTCCATTCTTCTATTTATTAATCAAAACATCAAGCCAGACATTATATTTACAGTAAATAAGACAATTAACCATTAATCATAATCGTAGTTTGACGACCATCAAACTGATCACTCGAGATAGATTTCCAGTCTCTTAAAAATATATAAACTGTCCAAGGTAATGCTCATTTATTTTCTATATTTATAATGTATAAACGAGGAGGAAAAAAAGGTACAATACCGTGACTGGAACAATACAAGTAACCCACACATAAGAACGTAAGAGGAACACTGCAGCAGACCTATTGGCCCATACTAGGCAGGTCCTCGTTCAACACAAAGCCACTAAGAAAAATATGAACCCAACCCCTTTTCACTGCAAACTCTACTCACCCAGGTGAACGTCCTATTCTAAACCAACCCTCTCATATTAAAAACAGTATAAAATACTATTTCTCCAAAGTTGATAGACTGTTTACATCACTCACGAAATCGTAATGACACGATTGCAAACAAACCGTACCATGGGCGGGACTTGAACCCGCGGTCAGAGAGTCTCAAAACTCCAGACCGTCGCGTTAACCCAGTGGCTAACGCGACGGTCTGGAGTTTTGAGACTCTCTGACCGCGGGTTCAAGTCCCGCCCGTGGTATGGTCTGATTACATCATTTTCATTTCACTACCACACCTCTTGCTTCTGTATTTGAGTGAAGAAGTCTGCTGTGTAGGCGGAACGTTTCAACAGCAAAGATACCAACTGTTTCACATGTCCATAGATAAAAAGGACATGCAGACCAAGGCTAGCACTCTCTCATTCGTTCATAGGAGAGAGGAGCTTACGACGACGTTTCGGCCCGACTTGGACCATTTACAAAGTCACACTGTGTTTCTGTCTGCTGTGTGCTGATTACTTGTACAGGAACAAGAGTAATGACCTGAAACACAACCTTGCACTGCTTCTTGTATTCCTGTATCCTTCATAAATATGTAATATCTATGATACGACATATTGTAGTTCACTGTATGGAGGTGTGAGCAGCTTCAGGCAGACGTGGCTTGGTTGGTAGCGCACTCAACTCATACTGAGTGTCCGTGATTCGATCTCAGGTACGGGTGGTAACACTGGGGCGTGTTTTCTTAAGACATCTGCTGTCCCTGTTTACCTAGCAGTAAAATAGGTACCTGGGTGTTAGTGGACTGGTGAGGGTCGCATCCTGGGTGTTAGTGGACTGGTGTGGGTCGCATCCTGGGTGTTAGTGGACTGGTGTGGGTCGCATCCTGGGTGTTAGTGGACTGGTGTGGGTCGCATCCTGGGTGTTAGTGGACTGGTGTGGGTCGCATCCTGGGTGTTAGTGGACTGGTGTGGGTCGCATCCTGGGGACAAAATTAACCGAATTTGCCCTAAATGCTCTGCATAACAAAAGACTTCTATATAATAGTATGTCATTGATGTCAGCTATGGTCTGTATACCTTGTATCATATACGTGTAGAAATAAACATTATTATTATTATTATTATTATTATTATTATTATTATTATTATTATTATTATTATTATTATTATTATTATTATTATTATCATTATTATTATTATTATTATTATTATTATTACACTGGTAGGTTGCTAGACAAGTTGAACACAGAGACACTTTGCAACAGTTCCAAATATTTATAGAGGAAGTGTTCTACCAGCCAGTGACCTTCTTCAGTCCAATACTGAGAAGAACAGTGGAAGGTGAGGTGGAGTTTGAGGTAGTCAGTCCCTTAAAGTACATACTCCACACACCCTGTTCCACACAGTGTACCCTCACCACACACCCTGTACCACACAGTGTACCCTCACCACACATCCTGTACCACACAGTATACCCTCACCACACACCCTGTACCACACAGTGTACCCTCACCACACACCCTGTACCACACAGTGTACCCTCACCACACACCCTGTACCATACAGTGTACCCTCACCACACACCCTGTACCATACAGTGTACCCTCACCACACACCCTGTACCACACAGTGTACCCTCACCACACACCCTGTACCATACAGTGTACCCTCACCACACACCCTGTACCACACAGTATACCCTCACCACACACCCTGTACCACACAGTGTACCCTCACCACACACCCTGTACCATACAGTGTACCCTCACCACACACCCTGTACCACACAGTGTACCCTTACCACACACCCTGTACCATACAGTGTACCCTCACCACACACCCTGTACCACACAGTGTACCCTCACCACACACCCTGTACCACACAGTGTACCCTCACCACACACCCTGCACCATACAGTGTACCCTCACCACACACCCTGTACCACACAGTGTACCCTCACCACACACCATGTACCACACAGTGTACCCTCACCACACACTCTGTACCCTCACCACACACCCTGTACCACACAGTGTACCCTCACCACATACCCTGTACCACACAGTGTACCCTCACAACACACCCTGTACCACACTGTGTACCCTCACCACACATCCTGTACCACACAATGTACCATCAGCACACACCCTGTCCCACACAGTGTGCCCTCACCACACACCCTGTACCACACAGTGTACCCTCACAACACACCCTGTACCACACAGTGTACCCTGACCTCACATTCTGTACCACACAGTGTACCCTCACCACACACCCTGTACCACACAGTGTACCCTCACCACACACCCTGTACCACACAGTTTACCCTCACCACACACCCTGTACCACATAGTGTATCCACACAACACACCTTGTATCACACAGTGTACCCTCACCACACACCCTGTACCACACTGTGTACCCTCACCACACACACTGTACCACACAGTGTATCCACACCACACACCTTGTACCACACAGTGTATCCACACCACACACCTTGTACCACACAGTGTACCCTCACCACTCACCCTGTACCACACAGTGTACCCTCACCACACACCCTCTACCACACAGTGCATCCACACCACACACCTGTACCACACAGTGTATCCACACCACACACCCTGTACCACACAGTGTACCCTCACCACACACCCTGTACCACACAGTGCACCCCACACACCCTGTACCACACAGTGTATCCACACAACACACCTTGTATCACACAGTGTACCCTCACCACACACCCTGTACCACACAGTGTACCCTCACCACACACACTGTACCACACAGTGTATCCACACCACACACCTTGTACCACACAGTGTATCCACACCACACACCTTGTACCACACAGTGTACCCTCACCACTC